TCAATGTACTTTACATGGATTCACTCATTTATTCCTCACAACAGCCCTGGGAGGGAGGTACTGTTATCAGCCCATTTTATAGATGAGGGGACTGAGGCACAGAGAGGTGAAGTTACCTGCCCCAGGTCACACAGCAAATAAATACTACAGCAATACCTGGATTCAAACTAGGAGAGTGTCTGGCTCCAGACTCGGACTCTTAACCATGGCTGTAAACATCCCAGAGAGTTTCAGAGAGCAGAACTTGCCCAAGATTTCACCTCTGTTGGAATCCAGGCAGTCCTGCCTCACCTCCCATGCTTTTAAATTGGGAAGGGAAAATGGGTTGGGGCTATAATTCTGCACTGGTTTACCTTGCGTCTTCCCCCACAGGCCTGGGCCCCTCGCTGCTCTCTCTCTACCAGGATGAGGACACCACCCAGCCTGGGAGCCACTTTGAGCCAGCAACAGGCTTGGCACAGGCCAACTGAGCCAGCCCGTCTTCCCACCTCCCTTCTCCTCCCCCCAGAAGGACCTCATCCACACTCCAAGCCGGCAGCCGACGCACAGGATGGGGGCGCCAGGAGAGGGGCTCCCTTTCTCCTCTCAGTGCCTCCTGCCCGCCCTGGGCCTACCTCAGCACTTACCACTCTGAACCCCCTAATCCGGGGGCTCTTTAGGGTGGTCTCAGCTCAGTGACCTCTGGGGGGTGGTCCCTGGCCCCCTCCTCCTCATCTCAGGACTTCCCTTGGGGTTCTCAGTACTTGGTTACCTCATTGTCCCTCTCTCTGCTCTCTTGGCTTTATTTTGTGGAATTAAGGGTGGGGAGGGTTGGGGGTGAGATCTGTGTTTCTGGGCTCTGGGGAGTATGGATAACCCTAGTCACACTTCTTTCTATCCCTCTTTTATTTTTATTTTTGTTGTTTTTATGATATGTTTTTAAATCACTATGAATTGCCCAGGGTCCATAAGAATGTGGGAGTCTGATCTCCCCTCCTTAGTTGTCAATGGGGGGAGGCCCTGGGCCAGACCCCCCCCCACCCCCGTGACTTCTGATTAAGGCTTCAGCCTCCCGAGCTGTCACCCAGCTCCTTCCACTGCCTACCGCTTCCACTCTGGACTTCTTGCCGCTCCCAGCCTGAACACTGACTTCATTCGGGTCTTCCTACTTCACGGGTAGCCTCCAACTTCCTCTGCTTCCAGACCGTACAACCTCCAACCGTCTATCATTCCAGACTGCAAATCCTCTGACCTTCAC